ACCCACCCACTCATCCATCCATCCACCCACCTACCCATCCATCCATCCATCATCCATCCATTCACCCACCCACCCATCCATCCATCCACCCACCCACTCATCCATCCATCCATCCATCCACCCATCCATCCATCCATCCAGGTGCTACGTGAGGTGGTGAGGACAGAGAGCTGAGCTCTGCAGACAGGAGACAGATGCAGCGATGGGTCTGCACCGTGGAGCTAGGCTTGAGTTCTTAAGAGAGTGTTGATTGGCAGCACCCACTAAGAACTGAGCCCACTAAGGACTGAGCCCACTGCCTATTTGGTGCCCACAAAATCTCTCCCACTGCTTTGTGTAGCAATTCCCTCTGCCCCCACCCCAGGCAGGTATGATGCTGCAGGATAAGCAGTGGACTGCTAGCCACAAGGTCCATAGTTCAAACCTACCAGCTACTCCTTGGAAACCCTATCCAGGGTCATTGCTGTGAGTCAGAACTGACTTGATGGCACTTAACAACAATACTATAAATGCTTTTTAAAGTGATAATATGAATGATTATTTTCAACATTGAAAATAAGCACATCAGGTTCCCCTTCCCTCCAAATACAAGCCACTGCCTTCTGCATCTTCTAGTCCTGGTGTGCCACGCGAGCATGTGTCCCAGTTCACAGACCCTGTGCATGTCACTCCAGTCTTCAGGACTCCAGTGCTCCTTAGGAGCCACAGTGGCCTGGTGACTTGCACAGTGGGCTGCCAACTGCAGGTCACAGTTTGAATCCACCAGTTGCTCCGCAGGGAAAGGGAGGCTTTCTGCACCTGTAAAGATTCACAGCCTTGGGAACCGACTCCATGGCACGGGACCCACACCAGGTAGGTAACAGTTCGTTTGCTATTGGACCACACTTTCCCAAACCAGTGTCTTCATTTGGCTTTAGATGACGTCCCCTCTTTTGTTGTTGTTGTTGTTGCAGGCACACAGAAAGTTATGCCTCACAATTGCTATATTGTGACCTCTTCAAAATTGTTTCTTGGAGATAAATTTCTGTAAGTGGAAGCGCTGAGTGAAAGGTTATGTCTGTTCATTCACTCATTCCATAAATAGTTCTTGGGGCTACTAAATGAAAATGGAGCCCTGGTGTGGCGCTGCGTGAGCAGCACCCACCACAGGGTCGCTCTGGGTTGGACCCGATTCAGTGCCATCTAACAACAACTAACTCAAAGTTTGGCGGTTTGAATCCACCAGCTTCTCCAAGGAGAAGGCTGGGGCAGTGACTCTGTAAAGATGGACAGCCTTGGAAACCCACGGAGCAGTTCCACTCTGTCCTATTGTAGGGTCGCTCACTAGGACTCGACAGTGACTCCAAGGCAGTGGGCGTGGTTTGGTTTTTCAGGGTTCAGGCCTTGTCCCAGTACTTGGGACCTGGGGGTAGAGAAGACAGACCCATGCATTCTAGGAGAGGCGGTGGGTCGAGATGGGGTCAGGTAACATGCCGGAATCTTAAGAGGATGAGGACCTGCGTGTGTATGGCAGAATGAGGGGGATATATTTACAGCTTCCTAACTCCTGTATAGCTCTGGGACATGGTGCCAGTGACTCGATTCCACAGCAAAATTCCACGCAGATAACGAGTTCCTGTCAACTTTGTTACCACTGGGAGCACCATTCTAAAATGTCCCAAAGGTGCCCCACCACCATCTGTCAGTGCGGTACACACACTGTGGTGGCTTGTGTGTCACTGTGATGCTGGAAGCTATGTTACTAGAATTTCAAACACCACCAGGGTCACCCACGGTGGACAGTTTCAGTCGGAGCTTCCAGACAAGGCCAGAACAGGAAGAAACGACTGGCAATCACTACGGGTGGGTCACAACAGAACGCTGTCTGGTGGGCTGCTAGAAGATGAGGGTCCTCCTGCAAGCCCACACAGCTTGGAAGGCTCTCAAATCACACAGTGGCCCCACCAATGGAACACGGCAACGATGGTGAAGACAGTGCAGGGCCGGGCGGCCTGTCACTCTGCTGGACCTGGGGTCGCCACAGCAGCCGCACACAAGACCCGTTAGGGACTCACCTGGTGGCCTTCTCTGTGTTCTGGTGCAACTCTTTGATCTCTTCTTGCATTTGCTTCGGCTTTGTGAAATGACCCATGAAATTGAAGTAGCCCTCTGCATAGGGCCGGTGAACAGCCGGGGAGTAGTTTATACCCAGCTGCTGTAGAAACTCTTGGTAAGTGATGTATCCTCTTCCCTCTGTGTCGTACCTGTAGAAATACAGGGGCGGGAAGGGTTCCCATCGGGCTGTGACTAGCCACTAGCCCCAGTCCATTTGATGGACACTAGGTGGCTGTAGTACTGGCCTTACCTGGAGAGTCCAGAATGCAGATGCTCGGGCCTGACTCTGGCCAGAGCTGATCAGAAGCTGCATTTCAAGGTCTTGTGTCCACGTGACTCAAAGGCACATGGACGCTGGAAAAACCGTTCACCTGACTTTCCCTCAGAAGCCCACCTGTTCTTCCTTCCTGGGTTGGGACTGAGCACCACTTATGTGTTAGAGGCCCTATGCTCAGGGGTAGAAGAAAGGCCATTCCAAAGCATATTCGGTTTTAGTTCTCAAATAAAGGAACCCCACTTGATTCAAGGACGATAGTAAAAGTCCCAGTTTTCTCTTTGAAGGGACACCAATTGCACACATCGAACAAGAGAGGGAGGCTGGGAAGGAAAACAAGATAAGAATTCTGCTCTCTGCCTTTGATGCCATTTTCCATTACTGAGATTTTTCCGAATTATAATTCATTAAAAAGAGACATAATGGAGGGTTTTTATCTCCCAACATTGTTCAACGAGAATAAAATGACTTCAATAAAATTCTGAAGGCAAATTGCCAATTTTCTTTACAGGAAAAAAAAAAGAAAAGCATTTACTTTCACAGACAAACCCTGGTCCTGACAGAATCGATGAAAATGGCTTTGCAGATGGGATTTTCCCCCAGATGAACCCAGAGCTAGCAGGAGCGAGGCTGGATCTCACAGCTCCACAAATGCAGTCCTTGTGTTCGGAGGCCATCTGGGGGTCTGTAGGCCCCTCAGGAGAACACGTAGGTGCCCGCTGTGACGTGCATCCTCCTCTGACCCTCGGTTCATGAGAGCTGTCAGGAAGTTCCACCACCCTCCATCCTTCCCTGGGTCTGTGGGCTCCACCTCCCTGCCATATACCCCCCCACACACAC